TTGATACCTAAATGTTATTATTATAATAAATATAAGTGTGCAAAATTCTGTATTCTTATAAATTGATAATTACTAAATAAATTTTTATATTCTTTAAAATTATCAATATTAGTGAAATTGAAAAACTAGTCAACGCTCAGAGATTTAGTAATTTCACTCAACGTACCAATAAATTAAATTCTACTACATACATAACTATATCAAATTGTAATGTGTGAATTTCTGTCAAAATTTGAGCAATGCTACCAAAATTTACATATTCTTCCCAAAAAGTAAACTCAATGCTGTTATGTGGATTTTAAAGGTATAGGCTTCTGTAGTAAAAATCAATCTTCTTCCCGTATCCTTGTAAGCGTAAAGACAACTATAATCCACTAGTCTACCGCAATAAGGATGTTGGTGTATTCTAATGTCCGTTCTTACTCCACAGAGAGGTTCTGTAATGAATGAAATGAATTCCGAGTGAAAATGTTCTGAAAATGATTTCACACGAAAATATTCAGAATCAAAGTGTTTATATTATATAAATGTTTGATTATAATTGTTAAAGTTGCAACGCTTTGCGCAGGGTGGCAAAAAAGTCTATGCGCTGTGAACGGAATTGGTTATAGAGCAAAATGTACATGGTCCGCTTGAAAAATACATTTCTGGCAAGCCAATCAAGGTAGAAGCAGAAATTCTCCAGTTCTAAAATTTTATCAGGTTTGGATGTCTATCTTTAAGAAAAAAGTTGCTCACAATACTTCTGATGCTAGAACAACTAATAGAGGCCATTTAATAGATTGTCCAGTTGTGCGGCATATACACCGTTGTGGAAGACATCGCAAAATATACGACATCAGGGTTCCTCAAAATTCTGGCGAGATGTAATTGGAAGATGGGAATTTTCATAGGAATTGTTTGAATGTTACCTTGTTTTATACTAAATTATATTATACATAAATTGGCCGAAATTGACTTCAGGCCCACAAAGTGCTAATTAAAATTTATTTTGCTCTTAAATATTAGTTTCATATTGAATCATTTTATTATCCGTGGTTGTTTATTGATAATTTTTCAAGCTGTACCTAGTATTGCGTTGAGCGCATGATAAGAAAATTTAACTGTATAACTGAATATATTATTAAACACTTATAAAGACTAATGCTAATTTAAACGTGAAACATTCTTATCTTTACAGGAAAAGTGTCAAAATAATTTAACATACAAACTTTGTTGCAAATACCAAAACGAAATGATAGAGTAAATGGCAAATCTAAACAACCGAAATCTCTATGGAAGAAATCTTTGACTATGTTATGTAGTGGATCATTGCTTTGCTCATAACCTTAATTCGAAGCTGAAATAATTGTATACTTAGAATTTGTTTTTTCATTCGTGTAAAATTTCACGAGAATGAATTTGGATAAGCATTTGTTTAAATGAGATAAGACCACCACTACATATACACACCACTCTACTCCCTGAAAACTGGCCACCCCTAATTAAACACACCACACTGCATACAACATCGAGAACGCTACACATGATTACACTACCACACTCAATCTCCGAGTACAACATGCACGAAGACAACTAACAACAAGTAAGGAAGGGCTAAGTTCGGATGTAACCCGAAAGTCAAATGGTATACTCGTTTGAGATTTCTTTGTGGATTGACTGATATTTTCGCGTAGAAGGTCAACTATAGGCACTGGGGTCCACATATTTAGTACTTAGGGTTTGAACAGTTTTGGTTCGATTTAGACAATTTTTGGCCGCAGGGTGGCATACTTTTAATTGCATCATTCACGCAAAGTTTTACCCGATATAATCATTTGTACCTGATTTGCATTAGTGAAAGTGAAAATCAGATGGATTGAAAATGGTGTTACATGGAGTAAGCGTGATTGTAGTCGATTCGCCCATTTTCGCACTATGACATAGAAACATGAAAAGAACGTTACGCACCGAATTTGGTTGAAATCGGTTGAGCAGATCTCAAGATATGGGTTTTCACCTAAAAGTGGGTGTGCCACGCCCACTGACTAAATTTTGAACGCGGTTCCTATAAAGCCAATTTATACCATCTCAGAGATAAGATTTAATGTCTCTGGCGTGTTTAGTGCTTGATTTATCGCGCTTTTAGTAGTTTTTAACAGTACCGTTATATGGGGAGTGGACGGAGTTGCCTCCCGATTTCAACTATTTTCACACCGTCAATAGAAGTGCTAAAAACATTTTCTTCTAGTGAATTTTGTTATTATAGCGTTAGCGGTTTAGGAGATATGCACATTAAACCTATTAGAGGCGGGACCACGCCCACTTTTTAAAAAAAAGTTTTAACTGCAGATGCCCCTCCGTAAGTTATCCTGTGTACCAAATACAGTTTGTATCTTATTGCGGAGCTTAGTTATGGCAAGTTATTTGTTTTTGATTAATGGCGTTTTGTGGGCGTGGCAGTGGTCCGATTACGCCCATCTGCAGTACCAACTGTCTCACGGTACCAAGAAACATGTCTACCAAGTTTCATAAAGATATCTCAATTTTTACTCAAGTTAGAGCTTGCACGGACGGACGGACGGACGGACAGACAGTCACCGGATTTCAACTCGTCTCTTCATCCTGATCATTTATATATATATAACCCTATATCTAACTCGATTAGTTTTAGGTGATACAAACAACCGTTAGGTGAACAAAACTATTATACTCTGTAGCAACAGGTTGCGAGAGTATAAAAAGGGACGGATTGGGTTATTATATATAAATATCAGGATGGAAGAGACGAGTTGAATCCGGCGGTTGACTGTCTGTCCGTCCGTCGTTCCGTCCGTGCCAAGCTCTAACTGAGTAAAAATGAGATACTTTATGAAACTTCATGGTAGACATGTTTCTGGTACCGTGAGGACAGTGGTATGCACAGTGGGCGTAATCGGACCCACTTGGCACGCCCACAAAACGCCATTACATCCAAAAAACAAATAATCTGCCATAACTAAAGCCTCCGCAATAAGATAACAAGACTGTTATTTGGTTCACACAGTCACATTAACGGAGGGGGCATCTGCAGTTTTAAACCTTTTTTAAAAAATGGCGTGGTCCCGCCTCTAATAGGTTTAATTGCATATCCTCCTTAAACCGCTAACGCTCCTATAATAACAAAAATTCACTAGCAGAAAATGTTTCTAGCACTTCTATTGACGGTGTGAAAATAGTTGAAACGGGAGGCAACTCCGGTCCATCCCCATATAACGTACTGTTAAAAAAACTACCTAAAAGCGCGATAAATCAGCCACTAAACACGCCAGACGACATTAATCTTATCTCTACGATGGTATAATGGGGCTTATTAGGGAACCGCGTTCAAAATTAGTCAGTGGGCGTGGCACAGCCCACTTTTTAGAGTGAAAACCCATATTTGAGATCTGCCCACACCGCATTTTCACACCCAAATTCCGGTGCAGTAACGTTCTTTTTCATGTTTCTACTGTCATAGTGCCGAAAATGGTGCGAAATCGGCGACTACACATCACGCTTACTCTTTCCCATGTAACCACCATTTCTTCAACTTCCATCTGATTCTTTCACTTCACCTATGGCAAATCACGGTAACAATGAATTATATCGGGGTAAACTTTGCCGTGAAATGATGCCAATTAAAGCTATGCCACCCTAGCGGCCAAAAATTTGTTCTAAATCGAACACAAAACTGTTCAAACCACCCTAATACTAAATATGTGACCCCAGTGCCTATACGGTACCTCTACCGAAAATATCAGTCAATCCACAGAAATTTTTTTCAAACCGAGCTATTACCATTTGACTTTTCGGAGTTACCCAAATTCGGTAATCCGTTAGCCCTTCCTACTTGTTGTTAGTTGTCTCGGCATTTTTATCAGAGATTGAGCTGTGGTAGTGTATACATCGTGTAGCTTCTCGATGTTGATGCAGTTGTGGGTGTTTAATGAGGGAATAGCCAGTTTCAGGCGAGTAGAGTGGTGTGTATTATGTAGGGGTGGCTTATCTCATTTAAAACAAATGCTCTATCCAAATTTCATCGTCTCGTGAAATTTTACAGAATGAAAACCAAATTCTAAGTACTACAATTTCTATCAGCTTCGAATTAAGTTATGACGACACAAGCCAATGATCCAACTACAACTAGTCAAAGATTTCTTCCATAGGATTTCGGTTGTTTTAGATTTGCCATTTACTCTATTCATTCCCTTTTTGGTATTCCGCAACAAAGTTGTATGTTAAATTATTTGACCACTTTTCCTTAAAGATATAGAAATGTTTCACGTTTAAGATCTCGCATTAGTCTTTATAAGTGTTTAATAATATATTCAGTCTATACAGTTTACATTTCCTTATCATAGCGCTCAACGCGAATACTAGGATACAGCTTGAAAAATTATCAAATAAACACACGGATAATAAAAATGATTCAATATTGAAACTAATATTTCATAGAGCAAAATAAATTTAATTGCAACTTTGGTGGGCCTGAAGTCAATTTCGGGTCCAATTTATGTATAATATAATTTAGTATAAACTTCAAGTTTAACATTCAAACAATCCAATGAAAATTCCCATCTTCCAATTACATTCTCCCAGAATTTTTGAGGAACCCTATGTCGTATATTTTTGCGATTCTTCCAACAACGGTGTATATGCCAGAGTATAAAAAGGACGGGATCATCGCTTAATCAAAATTCGATTTTTGGACCGCTGCTACAGCGATCCTACACATTGGTTTTCGTTATACGAACCTGCGCGCTACCTTTTTTCGACGTTTTTTTAATTCGTTATATAAACCTTTTCCATATAACACCGATCCTGGCGACAACATATACAATTGTAGTTGTACATCATTTCAAAGTCCATATTGGCATATATCCCGCAATACCCCTTTGTAGCAAACAAGCACATTGATCTCTGCAACGAGCTCTCAATTTCAGGCGCACATAAATATATACATACAAGTCCGTGTATTAGGGTGTACCTAAATACAACATAAGGACAAAAAAAGTATTTTTAAATTAAAAGTGCGATTCTTAATAATTAAATTACGAAAATTAAAATTACACTCACAAGAAAATATTTAAAATAAAATACAAATTAAAAAATTTATTTCGGAAGTAAATATTTATCTAATCCGAAAAAAAAACTCTTACATACGTAAAAGAGTATTCGGTATCAATTATTATTTATCGCTGCGTTTAAATCAAGTTTACACTGATAATATTTTAATCAACTTTGACACATATAGTAATAAATAACATAACAAAATGGTTAATGACGACAAAAATCAAACTACACCTGCAGGAGCTACACGCTCAAAACAGGTCACCAAATTCATTTCTGAGAGTGACAGATTAACACGATACTGCACTCGATTTTCAACTTCAAAGATTCAATACAACTCTGAATCGTTATTAGAAATAAAAAAGCAAAATCTTAACAATTTTTGGACTCGTCTCCAAGCGGCTCATGACGCCATAGTAGAAACTGAACACATCTACCACAAAATTTTAAAACCTCGGCTTTCACAAATTATGAAAACTGCTTAGACCAGTACGAAGCCACAAAAGCTATTTTCTCCTAGTTAAAGCTAATAAAAGCTATTGCACCTACTCCACATCCGAGAGTAGAGCTGCTACAAGTACAAAATCAAGAGGCAAGTTCAGGCATCCACCTCGAGGTGCCCGCATGTGACACAGAAACATTTCATGGAGGTTATGATGTTTATATTATGGCCGTCCTTCCGGGACATGTTTACATCAACCATCCAAAATTATCAAAAGCGCAAAAATTGTATCACCTCCGATACAAAACAAAAGGTCAAGGAGGCGCAATAGTATAACAGTTCGCATTAAATGACGACAATTTCAATTTGGCTTGGGAAGCTCTAAAAGCAAAATATGAAAATGAAAGAATATTGGTCGATAAACAAGTAATGCCACTAATAAGCTTGCCCAAAATTCAAAAAGAAACAAGTGAAGAATTTATTAGGCTACAATCCACTGTTTCTAATTGTTTGTCGGTTCTATCTGGTAAACATATGCACCGCCGCATTACCAGAAAAATCGTTACTTTTAGGGGAGCAATCGCTCTCATCACGAAAGAAATGCCCCACGTGGCAACAAATGAAAGACTTTCTAACTACCCAGTATGAAATCGCTGAAAGGGTAGATAAAAAACCTAATTAAAACAAAAATTGTTTAACACGACTTAAAAAGAAGCTTCAATAGACTCCAAGTTAGTAGCAAAAATAAATTAAACAGAAGCTTGTACAAAACGC